TGGGCAGGTGCGAACACAGGACTGGCTTTGGCTGAATCGAGGGGGGGATGGATATCATGGTTCCTAGGGGCACCTTGTCAACATGCTAGATGTAGTTGAAAAATAAAATTCTATGCGAGGCCATCTAAGGCCAGGCTGGGGTGGTGCGTGTGGGGCGAGGTTTGGAGAAACTGTCTCCTGAAGGGAGGGGTTCCACCCATGGGACAGGCTGGCCCCATCTGTGACATCTAATCAGGTGGGTTTGTGGGTGCTGGCAGAGGAGATGGGAGCGTGCTGTGGAAATGCCTTGTTTGTCCCCGGGGTTTGCCAGGGAAAGTCACGTGTGTGCTATGAGGCTCTGGCTTTGTGACACCTTCTCCACCTTGCGGCCAGGAAAATCTAAAGGCAGTGCTGCCTAGGGGACGCGCACAGCTTTGGATGCATGGATCCAGGGTTCAGGCCTGGAGCTGCCTGGTCTAAGCTATGAAACCCGGACAAGTCACGCCACTTCCGCAAGTCCAGTCACTCACCCACTAAAAGGGTATGATAATTTTCTTCCTCATTACTTCCATTTTCCAGAGGAAGAAACTCAGGGACTAGTCTGGAGTATCTTGTCTGGAGTCAAGAAGCTCATGAATGGAAAAAAGACAGTTTGGACACACTCAGTCAGACCCAGAGCCTGTTCCCTTAACCACAACACAACCCTGTCTCTTGATGAAGTGTAACTGCATAAATCAGGCTGTCTAGGACAGTTCTCCTGGGTGTCTAACTTTGACAAAGCCCAAAAAGGACTGTGCTGAAGGGTCCTGTAAGATGACCTAATCCTCATCCTTATTTTAAGTAATTTTACAAATACAGACTCTGAAGCCCAGAGAGGTTAGGTAACTTTTCTGGAATCACACAGCAAGTCAACCAGAATCCTACCTTGAATTCAACTCTGACCTCCATTGTTCTTCTCCTACTCTCCTGCCCTGGCCTGCAGAGCATCATTTTGCTGAGTCTTGTTAACCCTGTTCTTTCCATATTTATACTCAGCCACTGGGCCAGTGTCTCCGCTGGTGCTTCCCTGGCTGATGTTACAGCAGTTCTCTGTAGCTGCATATTGACGCCTTAGACAACAGCCTCACATTTCAGAAGAGTCTGCATGTAACAAAAAAGGGCAGCAGGTGTTATTTGGGCTAAATTGACCTTGAAATTGATTTCTTTATTTTATGACTTACTGAGAGGAGATTAATACTTTTTTTTCCCTGCAGTCTGAAACAATTTACATGGTAATAGAAGGCATAGTCAGTCAAATAAATTGCTGGAAGTGGTCGTGTTCTGAGGGAAAAAAATGCGGAGCTTACTCACATTGATTTCTTTGCCCTGGGGAGAAGCAGAGATTTTAACATCTGGGAATAGGGAGCTAAATTTTATCTCTCATTTTAAAAGCAGAGGAATGAAGAGCTTAATCTGACATTTACACAGAATTTTCTAAGTTGGGAGAAATGGGGGAGTTCCTTGCTGAAGGTTAACAGGCGTCTGTCTCCTCAGAAGGGCTCTGGGTGGTTTGATCTGGGATGGTAGGTGGGGCCCAAATGAATTTTCAGAAGCTGGACCTTGGAAAGTTGGCTGCTGCAGTGCCAGGCAGGGGGTCCCAGCAGGGCAAGAAAAGCTGGTGATATAAATTCACACCCAAGCTGAGGAGTCACGTGAATGGAGACCTTGCTTCCAAATTTCTGGGCCTTGCCCTGTGGCTACACCACCCTACTCAGGGACGGGATTTGATTTCAGCTGTCATGCCAGTGTGTAGATGAGTGACATTTCTGAGTGTGTTGAATTGGATCCTGATACTGCATCTGGGCTCAGCAGGAGAGTGCAGCACTCGATTAGTACTGCCTGCCTTGGGAACCAAAAAATGCAAGTGTACTTGTGTGCCACATGTTTGAATTTCTGGGTGAAAGCCATTAATGCCAATATTTCTGCATTCAGACCACGATGGCAGGCCTTTGTTCAAAGAAACTCCAAATAATTTGACACATTGTGTGAGCTAAGGTTTTTCCCCCAGAAAATGATAAAAATGAATTCCATACCCAAAGGACTCTGCTAGTATTGCTCTATGTTATTCTCTTAAATGGTTTTTCTTTATGCAATAAAATAAAAATTGCAGGATAAAATAAATATTTTTCAATGAAAATACATGCCCAGAATACACAATTAAGAGTCAGAAGAGTAAAATGAGTTTCCTGACTTATCCTATCCTGCTCAGCAAAGTCAGCCATTTTTAAAAGAATTCTAAAAAAATCCATTTTCTAGACATTTCAATGCCTATGTCACACATGCAGATATTCTTAAAACAATGCACAGATGGTGGCATGTCACACTTACCACTCTGCATTTTACTGTCCATCCCAAACATTCCATATTGAGCTGCCTCCCTTTCCCCTTATTTTACTGAGGGTGTCTGGATGCACCTAACTTTACCTGGTCTCTGAGTAATGGAAATATTGCTCCCAATATTTTGTAATAAAAAAAACACACCTATACATTTCAATAACTCTTCATCTTTGGTCATTTTCCATAAATGCAGACATTCTATAGCAGAAATTCCAAGAAATGAAATTGATGGTTAAATATTATCACTTCTCAAATTTTGGGCAATGTGTAATTCCACTATGTATAAGAATACACGATCAGAGATCAACCCAAGGACTTGTATACATGCATATAAGTACAAGTTATATGGGGAGGGTGGGTATGTATGGGAAGGGGGGGCAATGGTAAAATATGTACACAGATAATAATTTAATTAAAAAAAGAATACACATTTCTCTACACTCTTATTGCTTTGATATGTTGCCGGACTGTCATCTTTGCTAGTCTTAGTAAAAATAATACATCATCTTAATTTTCATCTCTCTTGCTATCGGTGAAGTAGAGGACCCTCTATTGTATAGAGCAGACACTTGCCATCTCCTTTGTGACTTGTCTGGGTGTCTCCTTGGCTCATTTTCCCCCTTTGATTTCCATTGGTGTTTTTCTTATTGACTTGGGGAAGCTCTTTATAAATGTAGGAAATTGCTCTTTGTTCAGTAAGTTGTCTTACTGGTACAGTTTGTTTAAGGTTTTATTTTTCACGCCTAAAACATTAATATTCAAGATTTTGAATCATTTGCTCTGTGGCTTTTGGTTTGTAATTAGGAAGGTCTCCATCACCACCACTCTGAGATGACAGAAATTTGAACGATTGGCTTGAATATATTATGTCATCTAATCAATCCAGGTGTCAAGAAGTTATTTCAACTTTTTGCCTTAGAAAATACACTGTCGGTGCTGTGATAGAATTATGTGTCTTCTATGGTTACCTAGGGGCCATGACTCAGCTTCATAAGCTCCTCAAACTGCTTTCTTTCTCTCAGCCCCCAGACTCCTCCCAGGTTGCAGTGGGGCCGGGTAGCCTGGCAAGCGTTTTGAGAGCCAGGGTCCCTGCAGGTCTTACTGGCTCCATCCCTAGAAACCCATCATGCCCAGGTCCACTGATCAGGAGGCTTTAACCAGCCTTGGTGTTGGCCTCCTGTTATTGTAAAAGATAAAACCTTTAAAGGTCATTTTAATGCAAATAATGTCACATTTAATGCCACCTGCCACTGTTCCCTGAGAGCTCACCCTAATTTGTGACAGATCCCTGAGAGGGTAATGGGTGATGGAGAGACATCATCTCTTACCTCGCCTGTTTCCCCCACCACATCTGGCTTAGAACCTTTGTGTTTCTTGCAATTTTTAAGGTAAGAAGAGGAATGGGCACAGGGGATTGGGCACAGAGTTGACGCTTTGTTCAGGATGATACAGGGACTGTGCTAACCCAATCCAGGCAGGTGCCCACACAAGTACAGAGCATGAAAAGCTCGGAAAGTGGCAGGAAGGGCAGAAAATACCTTCCAAGGAAGGCAGGCTGAGTCACACCCCCTCCACCTCCCTGAACTCCTCCTAATTAGCTCAATGAGGGACAGTTGGCTGAGGAGGAGAGCTGGTCTCTGGACCTTAGGCTCAGGGATGTGGGAGGAGAGGGTCTTGGCTCGAGGGAGGAAAAATGTGCAGCTTAGACCCTGCTGGCGCTTTTGAAGCAGAGCAGCAACTCAGAGCTGGATGGTGACCAACTGTGACATGTGTGCGCTGTGCTTCATGGGGAGGCGATGAGGCATGGGAGGGAGAATATGACGACGGTGGACATCCATCCTTAACATCTTGGTCCGAGCCTTGGCCCTGCCGCAGTGCTGCTGAGTTATTTTGGCCAAGTTCTCAGCCTCTCTGTGTAAAATGAGCTGAGATTGCAATCTCCCCCTAACACTTTGTGAGGGTTAAAGAAGAAAAGGCACACAAGAATGCACACGGACACTCCATTAACATGAGCACTTGTTGGGGTGAACCAGCAGAAAGTCAACTCCAGACCAGGAAGAGGTGGCTGGGTGTGGCTTTCTGAGACTGTCCAGGTGAGGGTGGTGTCTGCACTGGGAGAAAACCTAGATGCGGTCTAACAGAGATGTCAGGACAGCCAGAGAAGCAATTTAATTTTTTCTAGTAGCCACATTAAAAAGTAAAAGGAAATGGATAAAATTAATTGTAACCATATATTTTATTTTAAATATTCATAATATATTTATACATTTAAGTATAACGATACACTTTATTTTTATATATTATTAAATATTATCATTCTAACATGTAATTGATATAAAAATATTAATGAGATATTAATATTAATGTGGTATTTTACATTTCTTTTTTTCCCTCCATGCAGTCTTCAAAATCCAGTGTGCAATTTATACTAATAGCACATTTGAATTTAGACAAGCCATATGTGGCTTGTGGCTGCTATACTGGGCATTGGGCAGTACAGGTCTCAAAGGGGGAGGGCAGGGGGGGGAGTGAATATGAATAAATGAATGAATGATTGTGGCTAAAGGTCTCAAAATTCTTGGGGTTATTCCAAATTGGAACTATGTTCTCACTGTGCACCCCACCTTTGTTCTTGTTTTTGCCAGGACTACAACCCTGAAAATTCAGCCCTCCTCTCCAGTGCCAGGAACAGTCCACAGGACTTGGTGAGTAGATGCGTTTTGCTGACCAGATTCAATTTTGAAACTGCTTTTGCAACCTGTTCAGCCTCCCTGGGCTCCGTCATCAATCACCAGGAGTGGTTTGCACCTGAAACCAATCTTGCTGGAGCAGTAACTGGGCTTGAGGGGAATCAAGGTTCCCAAGCGTTCACAGAATTTCTATTAGGAAGCACCTGGGGCCAGAGTCAGCCTGTGTGGAACCTGATAGGAAAGCTGAGCTCCCCTTTTGGGAAAGGCCAGCTCCTTTGGGAGCAGATCTGGGGGATAAGTGACTGGTGGTAGAGCCATGGGCTCGTCTTTACTTCTTGAAGTGAGGATAGACCTTGAGGTGCTTGGAAATGGAAAGGAAATTTAATATTATTTGATTATCCCCGTGGCGTGCTCACTGAGAGCTTTGGGGCCCACATCTTGGCATTGGACTTGTGGTCCTAGGGCAGGTGATTGTGAGTGTTGGTGGTGTGGATGCCTGCGCCTTCTCCATAAGTCGTCCAGGCACTGGTAACAGCAGCAGAGATCACAGGTGCTCCCTGCACCACTGTTCCCTACGCACTCCCACCAGACTCTCGTGGTCCTTCCCACAAGGTGGTGTATGTGTACTGTTGTGACCGTGTGATGAGGTGAAGGGCACACAGACTTTTTTGTTGTTGTTTTATAGTGATCATTATGTATTTAGTTTTATGATTATCTTTATAGCAAGTGAAACTGGCTTTCCATTTATATTAGTAGTGGCATGAAATTTTTTTGAAAATATGTAAGTAAAAAGGGTGAAGTTGATTTAAAGAAAAAATGAGCATGGAAAAAGAGTTTGGAAATAATAATGTAGCAATGGGAGGACATTGTGATAGTGATAAGGGAATGGCTGAGAGTAAATTCTTTTATCAAAATTGCTCCTGTGACCCTGAGTAGTGTCCATATGTGTGCTCTGCATTTGGCATGCTTCCTCTACTGTGTGCCCATCTGTTCTGGTACTTGGCACACACTCGACTCTCCAAGAACCCATCTCTTGGCCTCTGTCTGTTTCCTAAAATGACTTTTGAGGCTGCGGTTTTATAATAAATTTCTGGACCACCCGAAAGAAGTGTTCATCTATGATGTTGAGAGAAGAAGGAAGAAGAGGTAAGGTAAGATAATGAGAAATGACAGTCTTACAACCGACATTTTTTGTCCCTCTTTGAAGTTGATTAAGTACTTCATCTCTGTTCTCATTAAGTCCCCACAATGACCCCATTAGGTAAGTGCTGCTTCTATCTTCGTTTTGTGGCTGGGGAAACCCAAACTCCAGTGGAGTGAACTAGTGCATCCAAAGTCCCACAGGCTAGACTCCCCCTCTGGCCCAGACTGTCACTGGAGAACAGCCTTGTATCTTCACACCAATCCTGTGAAATAGTCTCCCCATGTTTTATGTGTGGAAATGATTTGCAGAGGAAGAAAGTGTATTCATTATCTCTTGCCACATAAACCATTTACCCTGGACCTTAGTGATTTAAAAGGACTAACATGATCTCATAGTTTCCGTGGGTTCAGAACCTGGGAATGGCTTTAGATGGATGGTTCTGGCTCAAGGTCTTTCATGAACTGGAGTACTGTTATTGGAAGGCTTGACTGGGGCTACAGGATCCACTTCCAGGATGGCTCACTTATGATGTCATTGTCAGGTGGCCTCAGTGTCTCCTGTGTGGGTATCTCCATAAAGCTGCTGAGTGTCCTTATGACATGGTTAGTGGCTTCCTCTAGAGTAAGAAATCTTATTAGGGGGAGGGGCAGGACCCCTTTTATGATCTGTCCTCAGAAGTCACATGCCGTGACCTCTGCTGCACTCCATCCCTCCTGCCAATCATCCCTGATGATATGTGGTAGGGCCTACACACTGACAAATGCCCAGATGGTTGGTCTGAGCCACTTTGGAGGTTGGCTACCATACTTCTCATAATTTTAAAGTAATTATGTCTTAATAGTTCTATATAAGATTCTTGTAACCTAATGCCAGGTCTATGAAAAGAAAGCAAAAAGGCACTAAACCCATTTTATAGATGGAAAAATGGAGTCCTGGAGCAGGAAAGTGACTTACCAGTGTCTTGAAGTTGGAGGTACAGCGAAGGAGCTTTTGAAGGGAAAAATAGTTGGAAAGTGGGGAGAAAACTTCCCCACCTTCAATGCTATTGCCCACAATAGGACTAAAGGGGGCTGAGGCCTGTTGGTTTTTCAGGAGCTTAGAAAAGCGCCCCTGGATTTTCAGCTTTCTTGGGTTGGGTTAGGTTTGATAGTCCTGACTCCCAGCACCATCTCATTAAGGCAATGGGTTCTCTCTACTGGAAGCAAAGATTCTATTCTGCTTGTTTCCCCATAGGAGGCTGCAGAATTTTAAGATTCATGCTGTGAAATCTGACGACCCTAACGCTCTTCCTTTTCCCCACAACCCAACCCTTACAATGCTGCTGTTCTGGGTCCTTCTGACTGGATCCTAGGGGTCAGCCTCCCACCCTAATGTGTCAGCGGTAGAAGCAATAATTTCTGTGACCTCTGTTGGTGGCAACCTGTTGTGACCAGCCATTCTGGATTAGACTGTGACCTGAGCTGAGTTGAGCTGAGGGTAAGGCCAGCTGCTTCTGTTCAGTGGTGCAAGGAACATTTCGGGGGACATCTTAGATGTGGGGTTGATTCTGGACTCAGCAGGAAAGGGGAAATCACACCTGGTCAGTTACTTGGAAAAGATTCCATTGGAGGAGGCCAACCTTTCTGCTTTGGATACATCGAAGGCAGCCACACTTTGCTTGAATATTAGAGCGGATTTGAGTTTTGCTTAAGCACCAGATGAAGTGGTTGTGTTGAGGGGAACCTTGGATACATGACATAGGCCTGTCTTTAAATATTGGGTTGATCTGTGGTCAAATGCCCACACGATGAGAGGCATTTTGGAAATGAGGCCAAAACATGCAGGTTCATACTTCATCCTGGGCTTGGCTTTGGAGTGAATGTCCTAAAGCAAACAGAGGTGACACTGCTCCAGCCAGAAGGACATTACACTCATTTCTCCTCTTCCATGACTATACTGGAGACGTAGTGCAGTTAAGTGCAGAGCCTACTTTCCATTTTGCTCTGCCTCATTTCAGAGCCGTATTTCATAACCTCTATGCCTTTCTGTAACTGAAATAGACTGTATTCATTTTCCTTTGCAGAATAAAAAATCACCTGAAACTTAGCTTAAAACAACACCCATTCATCACCCATGAGCAAGGCACTGGGTCCACAGTATCTCACAGGCTGCAAACAAGGCATCGGCTGGGCAGGGTCTCATCTGGAGCTCACTGGGTCCCTCCGTGCTCACTGGTTGTTGGGGGAATGCAGTTCCTTGCAGCTGTAGGATGGGGGCCCTCTGCTTTAGGCTGCCTGCAGTGCCCGGCCATGTGGCTCACACTATGGAAGCTTGCTTCCTCAAGGCCAGCTGGGGGCGCTCTCTAGGGCAGGCCAGCAAAGTGGTGTCTCATACATCTATGTTCTAACACAGTCATGGGTCTGGCATCGCAGGCATCTTTTCTGTTGGTTAGTAGCAGGTCACAGGTTTTACCCACACTCTAAGGAGGAAATGGTACCGGGCAGCAATCTGGGTCTGTGCACCCAGAGCCTGTGCTAGGAAAGTCCCAAGGTGAGGTTTTCTTGGTGTCCTGGGGTAGGTGCACCTCTCCAGTGCCTTTCCACCCTATTTCCTCCCTTTGTCCCCTGGCACCAGCCTCCCTCTCAGTGTTGGGCTGTCCAGCTGTCCTGACCTCCCGCCATCTGGGTGTCTTAACTTCATCCCATGTCCATTCTGTAGGATGTTCCCTGCTGCAGCTTCGGCAGCAAATGAATAATGGAATGCTGCCACCTTTTGGAATTTAGCAAAAGTGATCCATGCTGATCAGATCCATGCTGTGAAGCCCAAGGAAGAAATCACCACAGCCCTATATTCTATTCCCTTCTCTGCACCCCCGCCATGCACACCTACTTACCACTAGCCCAGCCTTTATTCCACTGGGAATTGACTATGGTCTGATGCCTGATTCTAAAAGAAAAAAATAAAAGGAGCCAGTTTCTTCTTGAGGCAGGTTCATCGGGCTTTTATGCTCTGGTTCATAATTACCTTGAGAGCTGCCAGGACTATACCCTGATTTACCCTCTGAGAGGCAGCTGAATGCATGAGCAGAAGCTTTGGCACAGTGGGGGATTCTGTTCCTAGCTCTGCTCCCTTCCCCCCCCCCCACCCCAGCCCTTGCTCTCCAAGGACCTCAGCTTCCTCATTGGGACAATGAAGGCCAACCACGTCTTTCAGCTCTCAATCCCCCAATCCCAGGTTAAGATGCCTGTGAGGGGGTATGGGAAATAGGCAACACACCACTTAGAGATGCCAGTCAAATAGGAGTGGTGCTAAGGCCATCTCTGTTCTCAGCAGGAGAGAGTGACTCCATCAATTAGTAATGTCCACCTAGGCACAGGAGGGGACAGTGCAGACAGGTGCCATCCATCCCAATGCCAGGTGTCTCATGGAGATCCCCAGCAGTCAACTCTGAGCTGCCTAGCAGCCACCTCTTCTATTACTTCTTTTCCTGTGTACTTAAGGCATTGCCAGCTCCTTGTTCCCAGCATTCTTTGCGACTCTCTCTCTCACTCTCAGCCTGAAATCAGCAAAGCTTATCCATTCTCCCCTTGGCATATCCTCAGTGCTCTGGTCCACACTCTCATTACCCAAATTCTGGGTTATCTAACCAGCTCTAACCAGTCATCACTACCAGCTTTCCCTCTTCAACTGGCTCTTACCTGCTTGACCTGACTCCCCTGTGGGCCGTATTGCTAGCTGTGAGAGCAGAATGCAGAGTCCTCTGATCTCACATTGGCACTTGGGCCTTATCTTGCCACCTCTTGCCTCCTCTCCCAGCCCTCCTGTCCCTGTGAGCCATCTTCCTGACTGTGGACCCTTATGCAGGTTCTCCTCCTGCTTGAGCTCTCCCCTC